ATCAGCCGCTCGCCGCTCGCCACTCCGCGGTCCAGCCCCGGCGGGTGCCCAAGTCCCGCCCCCGGCCGCCGGCCCTCACACACCCCCTCAGCTCGGCGCCCCGCGGCCGCCCGCAGGCCCACGTTGGAAGCTTTGCCACAGAGCTAAGCCACGCCCCTGCCTGCTGATCATTGGCTGGCGGAGTCCACGGAGGCTAGTCTCGAGAGCCATTGGAAGGTTCGCCTAGATCCCGCCCCCGGCAGCCTGGCTGGCCACCCCGCCCCCACTCTCTTTTCCCACCCAAGGTGTGAAGGGCGGGGGTCTGGGAGGAGAAAGGGAGGGGAGTCCCCCGCCTCTTAAAGGAGACGCTCGGGTTGTTGGTGGGCTGCGAGGACAGGGGCTATGCGGGAGAACTCAAAAGACGTGCCCCGTGCATGCAGGGGAGGAGAACAAGTTGGTTAGCAAAGCTAGCCTTTGGGAACTGTCTGGTCCCAAGATTTTCTTCACTTTTCCCCAGACTGCAAATAGGACCGTAAAGTTCAAGGGAACACGCGCTCATTTCCAAGCGCCTTGCAGGAGCAAAGACGGATTTAAAACCCCACGCATTTCCCCCTTAGTGATTATTTTTAGGGGTGGTCGCCTTCCTCCTCGCACAGACTGGAACTGCTTTCTGCTCCTGACCTGTTTTTAATGCCCTAAATCCAGCAATATGTCCTTGATTACCGAAATGAATGCATAAGGCAGAAACCAAATCTCAGAGGTATAACTCCTTCCCCGCCCCTAGTTAGTTGAAAGATACTTCTGGAAATGCTCCAGGCTTCCATCAAGGGGTTGCTGTATTTAGTTTGTTTTCCAAGTTAGCAGACTTTTTTTTTTTAATTTCAAGAAGCTATCGATAGGGAAGAGATAAAGTAAAATAATAGTCACAAAACTAATAACTTTGGCTCTTACAGATCAGAACATATGGAATAGTGCATGCATGAAAACAAGGGCGCATGTGCGCACAGAGAGCGAGAGCGCAGGACAGACACACGTAGATACATAGATACACTGTACACACCTACACATACTGGGGGGGGGGAAGGAAATTATTCTCACTGCACTATATAGCTGCCCCACTGGGAACTTCCAAAAAAGTTTCTAACATAACTGCATGCATTGTCAGGGAAATTGAGCAGGTCCTGTCCGCTGAAAAAACCCTTTGCTTTAACCAAAGTTTCCAGGGCTTGGTAGTCAAGTGATTGCTAAAAAAAAAAAAAAAAAAAGTATGTGTGTGTGAGTGTGAATATGGTCTCACTGGATAGCCCAGGCCACCCTCAGATTTACAATCCTGTTTTAGCCTTTTGTGGGCTGGGATTACAAGTGTGTGCTACCACACCCAGCTTTGGGTGCCTTTCTTTTTATCCCTTCCTCACTGTCTTTTTCCTTCTTTCCTTTAATCTTTTTTATTTGGGGGGGGGAATACATTAAGCTAACCAATAATGGTGCCCATTACTTTCTTGGATTTCTTTTAATGATTTCAGTCATGATACCAATGCAGTATTTGTACCATATATATGCATAAATCAACCTAAGAAACATTATCAGAAAGATGTTGCACCTGACCCATTCTACCAAGTGCTTACATGTCATGTTTCAATTTTTTTTAATTTTTAATTTTTACTTTTGTCAGTCATGGGGCTTGAACTCTGGGCTTGGGCACTTTCCCTGTACACTTCAGCTCAAGGCAAGCGCTCTACCACTTGAGCCACAGCGCCACTTCTGGTTTTCTAGTGGTTTATTAGAGATCATAGTCTCACGGAGTTTCCTGCCCGGGCTGGCTTTGAACCGTGATCCTAAGATCTCAGACTCCTGAGTAGCTAGGATTACAGGCGTGAGCCACCAGCACCCAGCTATATATCATGTTTATGTTTCATTTGTAATCCTTATGGACAAGGAGAACTATGTCTCTGCTTTCATGTCTTTGTTATGAAATTAATAGTAATACAGGGGAAGGGGTGTGATGGGGAGATGGAGTGCAAAAGACCCAAATTCTTGAAGTCTTCTGTGTGGATGCTATAAGTTCTTCAAGATCAAAGAACACAAAAGGTAATTAAATGCATAGTACATGATCATTTCCTTAAAAGTGTGACGATTCCACACTGTATACACACACATACACACACTAGCATGTGTGAAATAAATGAAACATTATATTTCTTGAGTTTCTCACTGAACTTCAGGCAGTCAGTCCTATTAATGAATATCATTTTTTAAAAAAAGGTTTCTCAAATGCTTATGAGTGTACCTGTGAAATTCTCTTTGATGATACCAGAGTTCTGAAAGACAGGTTTAGGGACTCCACAAGGTAATTTTGTCCACACATCTGAAGCGTCCCCTGTGGTCTGATTACCATGGAGTTCCAAAGAAGGATTCCACACTGAGGAATCAGTGGGGGGAACAGGGCGCCTGAGCCTTGGCAATTCCTCTAGTCTACAGCGAAGCATGAAGTCATGTCTGCTCCTCATACCATGTATGGAAGTTTGCCCACATACTTGCAACCTGTGTGTGATTGAGTAAGAGTGTGGGCTTGCAGAACAGCGATATCCAGCTCAGGGGAGAACAACTGGTGTCCACAACTTAAACTCACCAAGATTGCAAGAGCAAAAGTCCCTTGCTAAGGAACCGTGTACAGAAGAGTGAATCCTGATCCTTTCATCATACAACCACAGCTGGATTGGCTACTCTTGATCCTCATTTTCCTCTACTTCCCTTTTCATATTTTTAGTTACTCCTTGAGTGGGTCATCCAGGCATTTTAGAGGTTCCAGTTCAGTTTAATCTGTCAGAGATCAAACCCCAGAGCCAGCATGGAACCCAGTCTGCCTTGAGAGCCACTGTAGGTTACTCTCTTGAAAGCAGAAGTCCTGGCAATGAATCATTCTAAACCCACTGCTAGACCGAAAAAGCCCAAATCACCAAGAGCTGGAAAGAGGAGCAAACACAAAATAAGAAAGCAGGTTGATTGCAGGGATTGTTTAAAACACATCTTCCAAGGGCTTGGATTGTAGCAATTTACCTGAGTATCTAGGTGATGTTCAAGTCTAGTTTCTTGAATTGTAGCAATTTGTCTGAGTGTCTAGGTGGTGTTCAAGCCTAGTTTCAGAGTGAGGACAGTTTGCTACAGGTTCCTTCCTAGTGTTAAAGAGATTTTCCCTTAAGCTATAGAAGCATGGGGAAAGGAGGGAAGGAAGGCAGTGAGGGAGGTAGAGAGGGAAGGAAAGGAAGGAAGGAAGGAAAGAGAAAGAAAAAAAAGAAGAAAAAGATAAAAGAAAGAAGCAAGAAAAAAGAAAGAAAGAGAAAGACAGAAGAAAAACAGCCCAGAGCAACTCAATGTTACAGCCCTGGCCCTGCTTTGAGGAAGCCTATGTGAGGTCATTTGACAAAACAAGGATAATGATATCTTCTGACCTGGGCACTAAAAGAGTTAAGAAAAGATCCATCTTAATAAAGGACATAGAGTTGTTATAAATCACTTAGGGCCACATCCATCGAAGGTGTACTTTCAAAGTGTTAACTGAATTTTAACTCTGAAAGACTGAGAGGTCCTTTATCTATTAGAGATAGATAATCTTAATAGGTTCTTTCAGTCCAGAAGTTTCTTTCCCAGAAATGCTACAAAGGGTTAATAATTACCTGTAAAACCCCTGAAGACTTACAGGGTGATGACAGCCCAGCTTTGAGTCTGTCTTGTATCTCTCTTCCAAGGAAAATAAAACTGTATACTCATTAACCCCTTCCTCAAAATAAGCTTGTCAAGGAGATAAATTGAGGGAGAAGGGAAGAAGAGAGGATGCTAATGAGCCTTGGGGTGGGATGTAAGAAGAAAATATTTCTTGGGCCCTTGTTCTAGCATTTTCCTTGGGGGAAGTGAGGAGAGGTGTTTTCTTATACAATCACTGGCTATTGGCAGATTGGCCGGCGAGTGCCCACACACGGCCAGCCTGGGGCTGCGGGATCTGCAGCAAGAATGACTAATTCCTGAAGCTCAGCTGTGACCCTTCATAGGCCCCTGCCCTCCTCTACGAACATCACCGGCAAAAAGGCAACAACCAAGAACATTCTAGAATCTGGACACCTGTCCTTACCTAGTGAATTTGGAATTTTAACTCATTCACTGAAAGATTTGATTTTTTTTAAATTACCAAACCTGTGAACATCTCAATATCATGAGATTCTAGAGTGAGATACCGAAGAGGACCCAGCCCTTGAGCGCCAGCGACAATGATGCAGACATGGGCTAATGACATCACCAGAGCTGCACCCTCCCGCCCCACCCCC